CCATCTTCCTTTTGCGCATGTCTGTCACTGTGTCTCTTCTCTGGTGTTTGTGAGGACACCAGTCATGTGGGAGTTAGGCCCACGCCACGCCACGCCACGCCACGCCACTCCACGCCACGCCACTCCACTGTGACTTCATGTTAACTCATTGCAGCCACAAAGATACTATTTCCAGATAAGGTCACACTGACCAGCACCGGGGTTTCAGAGAGGAGCTGTGGTGGTAGTGCTGCGGGTTAGGTGCTGGGCTGCTGATGACATCGATTAGAAAGATGAGGCTGTCTGTTCAGTAGCTTTACATCGAGTTGCTATGAATTGGAATGGACTCATGGCAGTGGGGTTGGTTTAGGTTTGGGGAGGTTAGGGACAATCCCTGGTGGCTTAGTAGTTCAAACTCACCAGCCACTCCTTGTGAGAAAGGCACAATAAAGATGCTAGCTCTGGAAACCCTGAGGAGCAGTTCTACTCTGCCCTAACAGGTCACCATGAGTTAGAACTAAGTAGCAGTGGCTGGGTGGGGGTTAGGGTGTCAACATATTTTCTAGTGGGGGGTAGGAAGGTGGCTTAGATCTCTAACTCCCTTCCTCATTGTTACCCTCACGACTGTCATTTCCTTTCTCTGAGGCTGTCTCTTGACATCATAACACCCTCCCAACCCCCCATCACCCAAATCGGCCTGTGTGCCGCACACCATGGCTCTGCTTGGTTGTCTGACTTCTTTTCTGGTGGCATCCAAATGCCTGTGATTTTGATGAAGGTGCTCTGGAGGAAGGGAATAAAATAATGATTTTACTACTGAGATGTGTGGTATAAATGAAAAGGTGCCGTTGGATGTTAATGCTGTTCTTGTTACTGTATGTGAAACTTTCCCCAACCTCACTGTGGTCACTTGCATGGGGTTACGAGATCTCTAGCTATCACTTGAATTAAATTTATTTGTCTGAGCAGGAAAAAAAAATTTTTTTTAACCCCCAGCAAAGATAATAGAGAATGAAATTTATTTCACTTCTTTTGCACTCCACTGCTAACCTAAAAATTGTTGGTTCAAACCCACCCAGGGCTGGGGGAAAAAAGCTTGGTGACCGCTCCTTTAAGATTATGGCCTGGAGAACTCTGTAGGGCTCAGCTCTGCTCTGTCATGGACGTTGCCAGGAGGCAAGGTCAACGCCATGCAGGGGGTGTGGCTTTTAATTCTTCTGTTCCTTTATGTAGCATTATCAAGATGGCACATCATTTAGAGCAAGAACAATGCTAAAAGTAGTGCAGCCAGAGTTTAAGGGTAAATACCCCCATTTTCATCATTGCAGGGGAGTGGGGGAGGTAATAAAAAACTATCTAAGCATACATTCCATGTGTACGCGTGTGCACAGACATACAAAGGGGTACCCCCCAAAAAAAACCCAAAATTTTTTTTCAAAACTATGTGTTTTAATTTTTTACAGAACAACCTTATCACCTTAAAATTACCCACTATTACACTTAATACATTTGTCAAATCTGCAATTCCATTCTTGGAAGCATTTTTTCAAACTCATCTGTTTGGATGGCTGACAACACCACCCTCGTCTTTTTCTTCACCTCCTCTGCACTATCAAATCACTGTCGTTTCGTGTCCCTCTACATTCACAGAAACAAAAAGATGCAGGGAACAAGGTCAGGTGAGTCAGGTGCGTGGGACAAGAGAGGCATGCTGTTTTTTGCCAAAAACTGGCACACCTGTGAGCAGGTGCATTGTCGTGGTGACAAAACCAGTCCCCTGCCTGCCACAAATCAGGCCTTTTTTGTCACATCCTGTTACTCAATCTTTTCAGAACCTCCAAATCAGGGGTCCTCAAACTTTTTAAACAGTGGGCCAGTTCACTGTCCCTCAAACCGTTGGAGGGCCGGACTATAGTTTGGAGAAAAAAAAACTATGAACAAATTCCTATGGGCCTGGGATGAGTCAGCTGTTAAGCAGGACAGGCAGTGGCAGCTAAAACACCTGGCGGGCAGGATAAATGTCCTTGGCAGGCCGCATGTGGCCCGTGGGCCATAGTTTGAGGACCCCTGCTCCAAATAGAAGGCTTGGTTTACAGTCTGACCCTACCCCAAATTTAGGGTGGAACTTACCCCAAATACACTACAAGTCCACATTTTCATCTGTTCTGGAAGTTGACGGACCTCCAGAACAAAATTTGTCATCAATAGACATTTCACCTTTTTTGAAATGAGAAAACCACTTGTACACTTGAGTTTTTCCTATAGTCCTGTTCTTCACAACAGTTTCTGGGGCATTTTCCCCAAGCAGGAAACAAACTTTCACAGCCTCACACTCTTCTTTTAAATCAGCCATCCCAAAAGACAAGGTTGCAGTGAAACTGCTTTTATGAAAAAATTCACTGTGACCAGAGAGAACTTCCTAAGTGACGCCACTGGGTGCACTAACTCAGATCAAGTTGTTGCTGGGAAAAATGTGAACTATGAAAGTTCCGCCCTGCTCAATGCAATTCCTATTTTTTTTGTACAAGATGACTTCAAAAAGTTGGCAGAAATATGGAATTGATAGATAATAGGATTTTTTCCCATAAATTTTTTGAAACTTCCTTGTATAGCTAACTGTGTTATGTGTGTATTTTTATATATACACCTATATATGGAGAGAGAGAAAGGAAGGAAGAAAGAAAAACAGAGGAAGCTTTCTACTCCCATAAAGAGTTACAATCTTGGAAAAATACAGAGACTGTTCTACCTTTCCTATAGGGTCTCTATGACTCGTTGGCTAGTACACACACACACAGATATGGATGGATGAGGCTTCTTCTACTGTAAAGAGTTACAATCTCTGAAACCCACCACAGGGACAGTTCTACCCTGCCCTGTAGGGTGGCTATGAGTTGCAATCAACTTGACAGCAGTGTATGAAATATAAGTTTCTGTTTTAAAAATCTTCAGTTACCAAATAAGAAGACTAGCCGCTTGACTGTGTGAAACCTAGTTCTTCAGGTTCTAAAAGGTAAAAGTTGTTTCCGGCCAATCCAACAGGGATTGCAATGTGATTTCTGGTGTCTTCCTAAGAGGCCAGTGCCACACAATGACACCATGAAGCCTGGGTTTCAAATTGCAATCCTCACACCCCCAGAAGTACACTGAGAGGACAAGCTCAAAGATCGACTTTCATTCTTCTACTTGTGACTATTATACCCATATCTTAGCCTACTCGGATTTTTTTCAGCATCCTGTCTTAATTTACTTAACGTTATCCACGTGCTTGATAAACTAATATTTATTGCTCTCAGGTCCTTGCACTTTCTTGCCATGTCAGAGGTTACGATTCTCGACATTTTGTTTTATCTTTCTAAGTCAGCAAATAAAATGAAGAGGGAGACAGCTGAGATTCTAAACTAAAATAGAGATGAACGAAGATGGTCATTTTATTGTCTGTAGTTGGATCCTGTTTGTGGAATCAAAATTGACAGATCTTGTAAACATACACCGCAAGAGGGTAGAAAAGGGGCATAAACTAAATTTTCAGGTGAGAAGCAAAACTAACCCTGACTATTTTTCAAAGTAGGAGGATTTCCTTTGTATCGTCCCTGGGGTGAAACAAAAAAAAAAAATGGGTTCCATCAACTGTATTTGGTTTCTACAATTTCAGTAAAGTAGTTAGAGTTTTATTGTACTTCTGATATATAATTTAGCTCTTCTCACTTCCTAATGGGATGCTTTGTAAAAATTGTGGCTTTCAGTGACTTCCTTTACTTGTAGTCATTAACAGTCCCTCTCTGGGGCTTCTCGCTCTGAGTAGCATTGCTCAGGAAATAATGGATTCTGTTGCGCCTGTCAACATAAACTTATTTTCTCTTCTTTTAGACATTTCTCTGTAGCTTCAAATGAGCTGTGTGTTCTGAGAGTTCTGAAGTCCATTCAGCATTCTCTCTGCCCTATTTTGCCAGTATCTGTAATCACCATTAAGATCACTATCATTAAAATCGGTCTTTACAGTGATGCAAAATGCAAGTGGGGAAAATGATGGCAGATGCAGAGGTGTTTTACTAAGTACCATTCTTTCAAAGGTGAATGAGTTAAGAATATTCTTACGAATGGAAAGCAATTTTCTTTTAGAAAAGAAAATGCATGTAACTAACTCTTGCAATGATGATATTTAAACTTTCTCCTTGTGAAAAAAACAAAAGTCATCCGTTGAAAGCATTCTTAAGCTCAAATCCACTAGACGGAGAGGTCAGGCTTGGTTTGACAGGTTCCACATGGTAACACATGCCCTCAAATTAAACCCTGAGCCTGCAGTTGCTTATGATTTCACATGGAAATGAAATGTAAACATGCCTACTTGAAATTTAAATACTGAGGTATTTCCCTTGAGATTAATGAAACTCCTTGTAATAGAACCAATTGTTTTTTACTGCAGTAAATTGGGTCAGCTCACATCAAAGTCTTTCAAAATCTTCACAGGGTCACGTCTACCAGTTCCTTTGCACAGTTATTCAGTGGTGACTCACATTTGCATGGGAGTCCAAAAGGCTTTGTTCTGGCCCTCCTAGCTGTGTATCCTTGGGTCTCTCTCTGGACCTTGGTCTTGTTTGCAAAGCAAAATGACCTCCCAAGATTCATGTCTGCTCAGGGTTCCCCCACATCAGTGACCCATTGACTGTTATGGTCACATTCTGTTCATTTGCAGTGTTGCTCTGCTTGATTACCACTTAGGATGGTTTAAAAAAATGTTTTCTAAAGCAAAATTACTTTGGCTTGTTCTCAGTCAACCAGCGCTTTGAAAAGTTTGGCTTTTATCAGCAACAGAGGCATTTGGAAAGCCGCCCCTCCAGATTACTTCTCTCCCCTACTTCAAACATTTGCAATCACTGAGGAAGACTGATTATAATCTCAGTGCCGGCCTGGCTGCTGATGGTTGGGCTGTGCTCCCAGCAGTCTGACCAGCCCCAGAAATGCTATACCAGTCAGGTGTGTTCCGAATAGGCTGATGCTGTTTTGTTTTGCTCAAGTAGGTTGAGCAGAATCCTGGGAAAGCAAGCATGATGTCAGGTTCTGAGAAAGAGCAAGGTGGCAACACAAGGGTATTTGCTTTTCTTAACTTAGGTTGTAGATCGCTCACACCTCTAGACTAGTATGCTTTGTTCGCCTGCCTGGTTTCCCTGCCTTTGCTCAGTCCCCAATCTGTTGCTAGCATGTGTTTCCTTAGGCAAACGTATACCACGTGGCTTTGTTGTGTAGAAGTTAATGAAGTGTTAGCTGAAGTGAACCTGAAAGACCATCTTGACCCTTAATGGCTTAACGCATATGGTCTTCTTCCAAAATATTTTGTTCTACGTGTGGACAGTCCTGCATTTCAAGAACACAATAGTTTTGGAAGGATGGTGCTTTGTGGGAGTCTGGAGTCTGTGTGGTCTCTTTTGGAGGAAGTCATTGCTAATTATCCCTGAATTCATAACCTCTTAGGTTGTTTCTAGCATTAGTTAGTGTGCGTGTGGTATAACCCAAGTGGCAGTGCCAGGGAGCGCTGTTCATGTCCAGCTAGCGAAGAACCACCTGGGTCTGTTTCCATTCAGGTACGAAGAGTTCCGGGGTCCAGCGGTCACCTGCATAAGACTGAAGACGGTGACTGGGAGTGGAGTGACGACGAGATGGATGAAAAGAGTGAAGAAGGGAAAGCGGCTTTTTCTCAAGAAAAGGTGCAGCACATTGATTGATGATGACTTAGCTAGCCTGTGTCATGCACGTTTTCTACGTATCTGCTTTGTGCTTGTACTTACTGCTACATAATTCTCTTACAGTCACGAAGAGTAAAAGCAGAAAATCCAGAGGTGAGTGGTTATTGCTATTATTATTTCTCCCATTACTACCTCACGTTCCCCTTATGGAATCAGTCTGATGCACTATGAGAAAGAGAACATTTTCTTCTCACTGAGCAGAGCATTAAAGCAGGGGTTCTCAACCTGTGGGTCGCGACCCCTTTGGGGGTCAAACAACCCTTTCACAGGGGTCGCCTAATTCATAACAGTAGCAAAATTAAAGTTATGAAGTAGCAACGAAAATAAATTTATGCTTGGCGGGGGTTTAATACAACCTGAGGAACTGTATTAAAGGGTGGAGGCATTAGGAACGTTGAGAACCATTGCATTAAAGGGTTCTGTTGACTTCTACGGTTCTGATTCTGTCTGCACTACATTGTTGTCAGGTGCCATCAAGTTGGTTCCGACTCATAGTAACCCTGTGTGCAACAGAACAAAATGCTGTCCGGTCCTGTGCCACCCTCACAATCGTTCTTGAGTTTGAGCTCATCGGTGCAGCCACTGTACTGGGGGTGGTATGATTCCATTTCTTCCAGAGCCTCGGCTTCCTCCATCTTTTGGGGACAGAGACAGTACAGTGCTTATCTCATGAAGCTGCCTTGAGGATGCATGAGATCACAGACATACAGCTCTCTATGAATGCCAGCCACAGAATGGGTACACACTGTTAGCTCTGTAGTGTTACTATCACATAGAAAACGTCAGAGGCATGCCAGCCACATTTCTTCTAGATACTGAGTTTGCAACACAATGGACAGTTGACACGGGCAAGAAATTCTGGGTTGCATCTGTGAGGCTCCTTTTTAAATCTCTTGGGTTACAGAGTAGGCAACAGCACCCTTAGTAGCTCCTCGTTGGGAACTGGTCATCGTCTGATTCATTTTACTTCCTCCGCTGGATTCATTCTCGTAATGCTCACTGATGACCGACTGTGTTTCAAAGGATTTGCTGATTTTCCTAGGAGAGATTTGAGCATATTTAAGTATTTTACAGACCTCATAATTAATGTGTACCTAGGTAAGTTCTTATTAGGAAACTCAGAAAGCATTGAATGACAAATTTTATCTTTCCCAACTTTCTTTAATGAGCAGGCATTTTTCTCTGATGAGATAGAGTAAATCTTGTCGTTTGGCTTCCTGTGGCGATGGCCAGCTGGGCTGTTCTGAGAGGACAGATCAAAGCCACAGAGCCACTCCTGCCCTTACTCCTTCTTCCCCTCTTTCCTGCCCTCTCCTCCCCCCAAAATGCTAGGCACTTTTCTTTCGGCCTGCCTCCTAATTATACCTCCCCTTCAAATCCTCTTTCCTTCTAAATTTGTCATATGAATTAATCTTTCTGCTTCATCAAATATAAGCTTTGATCAAGGACATTGCTCACCTGGTTTAGGAAGGAGGGTGAAGAGTCACACGGTGGGGCATGTTGGCTCTGAAGAAGTTGAGCTGGAATTCCAAAATGACCTGTACTGGATATTTGCACGCTGCCCTCTCCATGCCCCTTCCTGTTTTATCTAGAATGAAGCAGCAAGTCAGTAGTTTTTTGTTTGTTTTTTAATATTTCTAGAAGAATCTTCAGTTCTTCTTAGAAGCAGAGCAAAATAACCTAGCTCAAGTAGCACCATTGATTCAAGATTTCTTTCTTAGTTTAATATAGGAAATGAAGGAGCCTGCATGGTATAGTGGATTAGCACATTGGTAACTACGGTGTGTTGCCATTTAAATCCCCCAGCCACACTGCAGGAGACAGATGAGGCTGTCTTCCCAGGAAGAGTCAGTCTTCTCCTCTGCGCCACACGGTCCCTATGAGTCAGAATTGACTTATAGGGCATCCTCATTGGGTAAATACTCATGGCTCCTACCTAGAGTGACGGGTGCAGGTCTTCCCTCATAAGTGTTTGTTGAATGTAGTATTCCACTTCATCCACCAATCCTTCCAGTTTATGAAAAATGGACAGCATCACATTATGTATGAAGTTTCCCTGATAACCGATTCAGGTAACAGAAACATGTTAATGTTAACAGGAAAGAGTCATATATTAGAGTACTGTAGATCAATAGTCATAATCATCAACCTTCTTGAATGGGATTTGGAAGTCATTGGCACTTCACTAAGCCTAGACTCTTGATTTCCCAGAGACGTCTCTCTGTTCCCACAATGATGCATATTAAGGAAGCATATGCATCACGTGTTTGAATGTAGACCAAACCAAACCACACTCACTGCCATTGAGTTGATGCCTACTCCGAGCAACTCTATAGGGCAGGGTAAAATTGCCCCTCTGAATTTCAGAGATGATAACTCTTCACAGGAATAGAAAGCCTCTTGTTCCCACCCCCAGCCCCACCCAAGAGCCGCTGGTGGTCTGCTTAACCAGGATGCCCCGAGGGTTCCTTTTGAGTGTAGACACGCCCACCAATTTTGAGGGGTAACCAGACCCACCTGCCCTTTCTCATCTGCTCAGTGGAGTTTTCTGACACCTCTCTTATTGGCTGAGTTGGTGGTTCAGTACCATCAGTTGTGTGAGAAATGATAGCCTGACTTTTGTGTTCTTCCGAATTGTAATCTAAAGCTGCTCCCTGATTTCCCAACCACCCCATACCTGTTTTTGTAACTGAACTGTAAAGTGTTTTATTTAGCTATTATAAAAGGAATTATAAAGATGAGTATGGAAATATTCATCAAAATCAAAAGCGAAACCCATTGCCATTGAGTTGATTATGTCTCAGCATTCCTTCATTTTTCAAAACGTGCCATGTTTACTTATATATAAATATGTGTGTAAAAGAAATCTAGCTGTCATGTGGAAAACAAAAAGAAAGATTACGAGAACTATAAAAAATGTTTGGTCTTGCCATACGTCTTGGTAATCTTCCTGCGTTGTTTTTAACTGCTGGGTAGTACTGCATTGGGTATTTGGAAGTGGTTTATCTACTCCTTTCCCTCTTGTTGCCCATTTAAACACCTGTTAAAGAAACAGCATTCCATTAATATATTTGTGCATGCCTGCTCTGGGCACATATACAAGTATAGTGCAGATACTTAAAATTGTAATGGCTGATTTTGAATTTTTATAGATAGTAACAAAAAACCAGCACTAGTGTCTTAAATATCTGGCAGTACCTTATTCCTTTAGTAATCTTTGAGAATAAAAATACTTATCTTAAAAAATGACACATTTTAATGCCAGCAAGTTTATATCTTAATATGTTTTTTGATAAAGTGACTTACTTAAATTGTAGGTTAGCTGTCTACTTGACTATAAGCCACTTGAAGACTGGGATAGAATTTTACTCATGCTTTTTCCCCCTTTTCATCTCCAATATTCTGTACATGTTGATGACATATGAATGTCTGAAAATAAATATTAAACAAGTGAGTGACTAACCACCTAGTGCTTATTGGGTAGGTTAGAAGTGGAGGACAAAGATCCAAAAATGGTGGATAATTGGGGTGAAGTTCAGGAGCGGGTGGGGGGGGAATTTTTGCCTTAGTAGTTAGTACCATGTTTCGATACGGTAAGGTGCTATAATAAAGGAAGGGTGTTTTAGGAATGCGTAAATGTCAAAGGACAGTTTACCAGCCTGTTGACGAAGCATAAAGTAGAAACTCTAGACATTAGATTCATTGGAGGAGATTCAAAGGTTCAGTTTGGGATTTTTATCACATAGGATAGATGTGCCTGATTCTCAACCACATCTGTAGATCTTCCTAATAAATAAACCCAAGGGAATTTCCAGTGGATTCTGTAAGATTAAATAATTATGCCACCTTATCTGAAAATTTGTAGTTAAACATTTTGAAAAATTGGGCCTGTTTTTGTAACCTGGTTTTTTAGAAACAACCTTGCAAAGTATTAGTCAACTCATTAATAAGTAATAGTTTGTAACGCGTTGATAACTCATGTTTATTTCAGTTATTATCCCCTTTCTTGAAAGTTGGACACACACTGCCTTAGTTTCGTTATGCTTCTGTAATAGAAATGAGGGATTGGCTGTAAAGAACACATCATTTTACCAGTTTTGGATGTTAAAAATCCAAATTGGGGTCTCGATCATGTTGCTTCCTTCCTTTTGTGTATCCCCTAGTGTTCCTTGTTTCTTTGGCTTATAGACAGTCCTCACATGGCTTCACCTCCTGTCCACGTGCACATCTTTATGTTGGATCTTTTATTATAACTCAAAATTGTTTAAGTTTAGAACCCACTCTACCAGAGGCTGATGAACCTAAGATTAGCAGGAAGACCACAGGCTTGTGGTTGTAGAGGTGAATGAATCCAAGGTTGGCAGGTCACATGGCGGGCTGCTGAAGACTCCAAGGATCAGCAAGCAATATGGCAGGTCATTAGGTCAAGTACAGAGAAGCAGGCAGAGGCAGGATCCAGACCCAGCAAAAAAGCAAAACATGCTTTTCCAATATCCACTTCTATTGAAAGCAGGCCCCACCCTCAAGGCAATTAATTCTATCATGGCTGTGACCTGTGTAAGGGTGTTGGACTTATCCTAATCTTTATCCCATTATGGAAGCAACTGATTGGTTATGATTACACTGTGTTAGGTCAGGTCCTGGGGGATTACTAGGTGTGAACTGCCAAGCCACTGAAAATCCTCGCCCCGCAAACTTGACACACAGTCTTACTATCACACTTGGTATTTTCAAGGAATGGACTTCCTTAGGCAGTGCTTCCTACCTTACTAGCCTTCCTGGCTCACATGACATTTTGCAACTGTTATCTTTTCATCATCTTTTGACAAGTAATTTGGGGTCTTTTGTTGCCAGAATCTAAAGTAATAAGTACTTATGTTGTATGACTTTTTATCACTTCTGCACTAGACCTTAATTTTCCATTAAAAAAGTGACATTGGCTTTGCTTTAAAATTCATAGGGCTTTTGGTATAATTTAACTGAGAGGACATTTGCTGAGACTTCTATTAAAGCACCATTCCTTTCACAGCAGCGTTGCAGTTAGCTGATAAGAAAGGCAAGGATTCTCAACCTTGGTAACACGTAAGAAAAACTGAAAGCTTGGGACATACAGATGCATAAACCTAATCCCGAGAGGATTCTGATTTGGTATTGTGGGGTAATGCCCCAGCTTTAATTTTGAAAGCGTCTCACCTGATTCTTGCAGGATTGCGAACCACTGCCTGGGAAAATCACACAGATAGCTGTGGACTCAGAAGTCCAGGTTCGAATTCAGAAAGACTGCTCATATTTTATGAAGTTTTTCTGTAAATAGCAACTTATCAGAAGTCTCCAGAGAAAACAAAACAAACACTCAGAAAACTGTTTCAGAACACCTTTAGAAAAGGTGTCCATCTTTAAGCACGTCTAATGAAACTGGTAGAAGGTTTCCTGGCTTAAGCCCTGTTGGATCCACAACAGATGATATTGAAGAGTTTAAAATCAGGAAATGTTTCTGCTTTCCCAGCTCAGAGATTTGTCTGCAGGAGAAAAGATATTTGGTGTGGATTTAGGGTAAGTTAATTTTGCTAGAGATTAGATAGGGATGTGAAAATGTAATCTATTGCTTTATGGTAGTCATTGCTATGACCTGATGATTTTCATACTACCTCTGGCTTTCTAAACTTTTTTTCAGGTGGAAGCCTGTTTTCCAAATACCTGTCAGTTCTCATGCATGTTTGCTGTATAATCACACATAGATAGGGAGAAAGATTTGATTTCTCCTGCTACACTGATTATGTTTAGCCTCAGACATCACGGTTAGATTTAATTCCATGCTTTTTTATAAAGCCAACATCTGACAGATGACTGGCCTTCTGACTAGTTGTGATGAAATGTAGATATGTGGTCACAAATTTACTGTAGTTCTGTAAAAGAGACTTTTAATTTGGACAGTTTTAGATTCACAGAAAAATGGCAAAGATAGCCCAGAATTCCCAGAGACCTCCCCACAAGTTTTCCCAGTTACCATCTTACCTAATGCCAGTACTTAACGTTTGTCACAATTAAGAAACCAACACAGCTGCATCACTCTCACTCACAGCTAAACTCCAGAATAGACTCGGCTCTCACTCATTTTTCTATTGATGTTTGTTTTCTGCTCCAAGACCCAGTCCTGGAAGCCACCTTACAGTTAGTTGTTGAGTTAGGTAGGATTCTGTAGTTTTTGCAAGTTGTCCCCCACTCTCCACTGCCAACCCACTTGCAACGCTCATGGGTTTTAGCTCATGTAGACCCTATGTAGGGCTTCCAAGACTGTAAATACTAATGGGAATAGAAAACTTCATTCTTTCTCCTGTGGAGTTGACTGGCGGATTTGAACCCCCTACCTTGCGGTTAATAGTTCAGTGGACAGGGCTCTTTGTTCATCCCCCATTAACATAAAATCACTGTTCCTATCAAATCTGTCTGGTTGCTATTGTCAATTTGATCCCCTTTTCATAGATCTCAGAAGAGCACAATGCTTAAGGCAGACGTTGTTTACTAGTTAAGCTAAAGTATTGTAAGAAGACTTCAGGAGCTATTTCTGGTTTAAGGTTTAAGAATAGTTTCAGAGGTTTATTCAGACTCCATGGCTCCAAGTCTGGAGTCCATGAAGGTAAATTCTTTTTGTCTGTCTGTTTTTAAATCCAACTTTTTTTTTTGGTCATATGTTTAAAATACAGTGAATATTTGCTCAATGTAATTATTAAAGGAACCGGCTTTCCTTTCATTTGGAGACCCTTCACTTAATAGCCAATTATGCAATAAGAAGAAAAACAATGGTCCCATCCCACCTCTGTTATTCAGTTTAAAATTTCAAACAGTGCATGTCTTGTCCTTGTTCCATGGTTCTCAAAAAGCACCTGCGAGATCACTTGGTGAACATCTCAATAAGGATACTGATTCCCAACCAACTCCAGGAAATTCTCAGTCACCTGTGGGGTGGGGCCCCAGGGAGTGTTCGTTTTAACCTGTCTTAAGTGGTTCCAATATAAAGCGCCATTTTGGTTTTCTGAAGTCCTGTAACGACGGCTCTCTTAACAGATCGCCATGAGTGCCAGCAGCATGCCCGAGCAAATACAGTCCCTCTCTGTACAGGACGCTCAGGTAGGTTTCTCTGCCCGCCGCATGTATGGGAGATGCTCTTCAGACAGGTCTTGAGAAGAACCAGCCTTTCAAGAAGTGAGCTAGTTCCAAAATTGTGGTTAAACCAGAGCCTCGTAAACACTCTCGTCTTTTAACAGGTATGAAGTGAATGAGGACTATTAAGTGTGGACTGTGATTTCTCAGGATCTCCCACCTTTAAATGATAGGTTCAAAAGAGAGGATTGATTAACTAGACCGCTTCTGAAACTGTGAAAGCAGACAAGGGGGAAACGACTCACCATTCTGTTACACTCCAGCCCCAAGCATATGGTTCTTTTTCATCCCTGATTAGACACCTTGCTCTGTTTTCATACTTATTTTATCACTGAATTTCCTGGGCAGTCTGTCTCCACAGCTTGTAAACAATGCCCACTGTGCAGTGCCTTTGTATTAAAAGCTTTGTGACGAAGCCATGCGCCATGAGTTGTGCTGGGTGGGAGTGAAGGATTCTGAGTGGCGCAGGAGAAGGAATATGGACACAGAGCCCAAGGTCAGGCTCCCGGTTCTGAGTTTACTGTGATTACTAGGCAAGTCCCTTGGCTCTCAGCATGGTTATATGCACCACCTTTCGTGCAAAGAGGGACTGTCCCTCTTTGTCCTTGCCCCAAAGCCTGTATCCAGAAACCAGACTCACTGCCATCTAGACAATTCGACTCAGAGCAAACCTGTAGGACAGAGTCAAACAGTCCCTGGGCTTTTCCAAGATTTACCTGTTCACAGGAGTAGAACACCTCATGGGCTTCCTTGGAGTGGTGCTTTCAAATCGCTGACCTTGAGCCAATGCATAATCACTGTGCCGCCAGGACCCCTTATCCAAACCTCTATATTCCATTCAATCCATACCTATTTCATTTGATAACTGCTTACTGAAATAGCTACGTAACGTGGACATGGAAATTTATGGTAGCAGACAGCATGATAGGAGCCTTGTAGAGTTAACAGTCTTGGAAACTCACAGGAACAGGTCTACCCTGCCCTACAGAATCGCTACAGGCTGACATTGATTCAATGGCAGTGAGTTTTGGAAGGCAGCATGAGGAGTTGGCATCGACTGAATGGCAGCGAGTTTGACTTTATTCCGGGGCAGCATGACTGAGGCCAGGTATTTAGTTCTTGGAGACCCGATGGTGGTGTGAGTCTTGTAAGTGTTGGACTGCCAAGCACACAGGAAAGGCAGGAGAAAGACTGCTCCCAGAAAGATTTCTAGGAGGCCTACTCTGTTATGTCGGCTCACTGTGAGTGTGAATGGAGTTGGATGGCATTGGGGTGGCTTTATTTAGTTCTCGACCCTAGTTTTCTAGCTGGCAAGAAAGCACACTTGCAGAGGTTCAGTGACTTGCCCAAGGTCACACACCTGGCTGGTAACCTGGCTGGTGGCGGCTTTAGGCCTTTGCCCTATCTCGAGTAGCTCAGAAAATTCCCTAGAGGTGTAATGTAGGGGGTTTGGTTGAATGATAAAAGGTAAACTGGGGATAAGAATAAGTCGGAGATAGGGAGTAAAGGATACAGGAAAAGGTATTAGAGTGACTAAAACTGTATAGTATGTGTAGTTTATGATCTCCTATGTTGTAGGAGATCATACTTGTTTTCTTCCCGATCTTGTGAGGCAAGTGCTATCCACATTTTGTAAAATAACAAATTGGTTCATTAAACTACCGGTGGTTGCATAGCTAGTGATTGGCTGAGCTAAATCTTGACCTGGAAAATTATTTTTTTCCCCCTTTCTACGACCTCCTCCAAGGTTGGCTTATCTCTAGGAATTTTATTGGTAGAGACAGGATGGGGCTATAATAAAGCCACTCACAGTTGATGATCTGTATGCAAAGGAGGAATATGTTCTATTCTAGGTGGGAAAGCAGGAAAGCTAAAGCTGGTCTCATCTACTAGCTTCCAGATGCTCAACCTTTGTGTCCGGAAGAGGCCCTGGCTCCGGTTACAAGGTGCCACGTCAGAGCTTAGCTACAGCCTATACCAGTTATCCCTAGCTCCCAGCCTGGGAGACTTCTCTGTGAACCCTTCCTGCCCATAACTGCGTTGCAAATGAGTCCTCATTCCATCCCCCACACAGGGCTGTTGTTGGGCCAGGTAGACCCACCTGAAAGTGTGAAGATCTAGTTTTGAGATTGCCAAAAAGAAAGGGCTGTGTGAATCCAGGCTTGTTGTGATTGCATTCACCTGTGTTCCAGCAACGTTCCTAACAGTGCTTGCGGTTTTGTTTTTCAAGGGCCAACCCAACGCTAGTGAAGACTATAGAGAAGCTTCTTGCGTTGTGAACCTCGTTTTAAGATTAAGGTAAACCATACTGCTGTTTATTTTGCCTCGTTGTTGTTTTCCTTTTGCACAATAATATTCTGATCTCGTTTATTGACTTTTCATAATGTTAGCATGAAACAAAACTGTTAACTTACTTGATTCCTCCTCCTCTTCCCCAACAACCGGTGCATTCCCTGTACTAATTGTTCTCAACTCCGTGAGTAAGTACTAAAGAGGAAGACGACGGCAGCATGGGGGTGCATTGGCAGGGTCAGCATACCCTTCATTGAGGTGTTTCTTTTCCTTCTTGCCTTTTCTTCTTTTCTTTCTCTGCCTCTCTCTTTCCCCCCCTTTTTCTTTTTCACAATGGAAGATCACAGTAAGGGATTTTTAACGAGTTTCTTTCACACTTGAGCAATCAGTCTCTGACAGAAACAAACCATGCTTGTACTACAAGTTGCCTGTTCAGAACATTTTTCAGTGGCAGGTTTGATCAGCCACTGTGGAGAAGTGACAGGTATGCTTTGAAAGGACCCTCAGTCTTGTAGGAAATGGATACAAACATGGCGCTTCACAGTAGAGTGTTTCCGTATCTGCCAGTGAAAGACGCTCCTGGCTCCAGGACCTCTTAACATAAAGGCCTTTCTCTACATAGATTCTTTGGCAAGATTTTGGGATTTCAAGACAAAAGAAAATGGACTCAGTTTAATTTGTAAGCAGCTTAATTTCCTAGGTCAATCAGAATGCAGCCACGTTTTTGAAATGGCTTTGAAGGAAGTTAGATGCCAGGTCCAGGGCAGTGCGGTTCTATGGTGGAATTCTCCCCTTTCATGCAGGGGGCCCAGACCCACTTCCTGGGGCAGTTCCACTTTGCTCTACAGCTTCACTGAGCGTCAGGATAGGTTCGTGGGTGTAACCCCCGCCCTACTTTACATATTTAAAGTCTCTCCCAAATATCCTTATTGAATGCTTTACTTCAGCTCATAGGTTTCCCATCCCCTCCCATGGTCCTGGAGAATGTCATCTGCCAGATGGCTCTTTCTCCTTCTGGAGATTCACCCACCCTTCCTGCTCTGGGCTCCTGTCCGCTCTACTTTTGCTTCTTAGAGCAAATCTTCGACTCTGGAATACAAAGGCCTCCCGGGAGCATGTTAAAAAGCCTTATATCCAGCTACTGCTTTGATACGGACACTAGAACAACCAAGCACAAACGAAGCCCCTCCTTTTTCCGGCAGCCATTTACGTGGGTGCAAGTCTTGATCTTACCATTTTCTAGGCCTTTCCTTTTTCTGCTTAAAACACAGTTATCACAGCCAGCCCACAGGTCTGCGCGATCACCTGCATTAACGTTCAGTCTGCACTTGCCTTTGTTCACTGTCGACTCACAGGTCTGTGTGGCCATTTCCCAAAGTTTGTGGCTTCAATCCCTTAACCCTACAAGACAGCAAGTCTTGTCCTAAGACAGTAGACTTGTCATGAAGAAAGAGGGCTTCAAAAAGCCCAGGGGGAAATTCCACTATCTTTTAGTTCCATTTTCCCAAGAACTCATATCCCCATAGAAAAACACACATATTCTTTTGGGAAATTCCAATGAACATTATTAGGATATCTGGGAAAGAAATTTGTGTAACTTTGTTTGCTCTAAATCCTGTTTCACCTCAGAGTTCTTTACATCCAATTATGTTCCAGCTTAATATTCTCCCTTTTAAATGTAGCACTCTTATAGTAAAAAAACCAATGTGGTCTGAGCAAATGAGCATAATAGGAAAACCATGTGATTTTCTTAATTCACCCTCTACATTTCTACTCAATCAGCCCCTTTTTATTGCCTTTTGAAATATTCACGTACCTTAGTGACAAGCTTGGCCTGACCTCCAAATGAAAGGAAACCTGATTTTGTTTGTTCCCTTTGATGGGCTGCCAAGCCTAATTTACAACTGCAAGTCATGTTTTAAAATTCTATGTATGAGGTAACATGTGTCAGTATAATAATTAACCTGTTAATTTTGAGTCATTGCTTGCCTGCCATTCATTTCCATCACTATTGTCAGTAAGTCATAGAGTTCCAATATTTGGATATCCATCTCCTGCCAGTTTGATGAACTTTTTTTCTACATCTTTATCCAAAATGTTGATTAACTTGTTCAATAGTTTTAAGGAGGACAGAGTCTTCTGGCAGCAGTTAGAAGTCACTTGCTCCGTGGCTTTAAGTAGCTCGCATTCTTTGCTATAGTTACTTGAGAAATAAATGCCATTGACTATGGACCAACTAACACATGCATTTCTAGAATTAAGATGTACCATATCACTACCATTTTTTGAAAGTCTAAATCAATTAGAATCTCATTTAAAATAATAATGAATTTTAGTATGATTTCATTGTATTGAACACATGTTGATGCCTTATAGTTGGTATCTCTCCCCACCCCCTTTGTTTACAAGGCATTTGTTTAAACTGGTGTTTTTCAAGTTTGAAAAGTCATGAATCTCTCAAAATATGCCATTGGACTCTCTGGGGTGAAGGGTGTTCATGTACTTAAGTTTGTGAAATAGCATATTTTAAATTAAAAGTTAAATGCTTTTACACATTTTTGGTCACTCCGATAAATGTCAAAGTGCAACTATGTTAATTTAATCTGTAAATATTTATTAATCACCTAGTATGTGTGTGGTAGAGCCCGGGTGGTGAAGTGGTTATGCATTGGGCTGCTAACTGTAAGGTCAGCAGTTTGAAACCATCAGCCTCTCCGAGGGAGAAAGAGGGGGCTTTCTACTCCTATAAAGAGTTTCTGTCTCAGAAACTCATAGAAGTAGTTCTCCCCTGCCCTCTAGAGTCCCTATGAATCGGCAACAACTAGATGTCAGTGAGTTTGTTGTTTTTTTGGTATGGATGGCGATAGCACTGTTCTATGTGCTGTGATTGCAGCTGTGGGAAAAAGAAGAGACAAATCAGTTGCCCACAAGGACCTTACATTCTGGAAGCTGGGAAATGGTAGACACATCACAGATAAATGAGTAGGTCAAAACGTACCACTAAGCACCATATAGAAATTCTTAGTATACAGCAACATCAAAATGTGAAGCTGTTCTTTCTCGATGTATTCTCTATCTATCTGGGGCTATACACTTTTGAAGGTGGTGGTTTTACCCCCTCACTTTTATCACATGAAAATGACAGTTATATCATCCTCTAGAGCAGTGGTTCTCAACCTGTGAGTCACGACCCCTTTGACCCTTTCATAGGGGTTGCTCAATTCATAACAGTAGCAAAATTACAGTTAGGAAGTAGCAATGAAAATAATTTTATGGTTGGGGGTCACTGCAACATGAGGAACTGTATTAAAGGGTTGTGGCATTAGGAAGGTTGAGAACCACTACTGTAAGACTCAAATCATGTGTCTTTTGAATATTCTCCGAGTTACCTGGAGTGTGGATGAGCGAGTAAGGTTTCCCAACAGAATTCTCATAGAATGGCCCTTGGTACCCTGAAAGAATTAGTAGGTATACATTGTCATGATAGGAAAAAGATTCTCCTAGCTACTTTCTTGACCTTTTACTCACCAAGGCAAGTCTCTCCCCACTTCCCCTGCTAAAACTTAATAATAACCCTCCCTGCTTGTCTTGTGTCCTTCCCACTCCTCACCCCCCAAAAAGTTTTATCAAGAGTATCCTTTTGACATCCCAAGAAAATAGTCAATATAACCTTCTGAACTCCTCTCTGCTATGATTTTTTTAAATTTTAACAGTTTTATTGGCATATAATTCAATGGTTTAAGTATATTAAAGAGTCATGCAATCATCACCACAGACAATTTTAGAAGATTTTCTTCAATCTTTTGTACCCCTTATTATTAGCTCCTCATTACCTCCAACCTCCCCTACCATAACCCTAAGGAACTATTAATATAGTGAATTTCTCTGTGGATTACTTAATCTCGATTGCATATCAACAAAATAAATAAGAAACACCAACAATGACAAGAAAATGAAACACAGAAACCTCCATCCAAAAGAAAACAGAAGGTAATAGAAACTCCTGACAAATTTAAACTGGGTCAAAAGGTAATATAATAAATTGTAACCTAACTATATGTGTAGTATCCACTTCCAATGTCCTCTGCTGAGGGCAAAACTATTCTCATCCCTTTTCAATGATCTTGAGTTCAATGGACACTTAATCCAAGCGGGGACTCTGTAAGTATGTTGTAGATTTTCACTGTCATCCATAGCCTTGGCAAATTGAGCGCCCACAATTTAAACTCTAATAAAATTCCTTCCTGAGATCTTGGATTTTATTACTTACAATCCTTGCATCACACAGGCCGATGCAGAACTCAGTGTAGACTTAACTGATACCTCACTTAAATGGCTAGTTGGTTTAAGACAAAGCTTTAAGACCCTAGACACTATTCTTTTGGATAGGGAGCACCATCAGATTTCTTCACCACACTTTGCTATAGCACCCATATCTTCAGTGATCATTTCATGAGAACAAGTATTGAGCAGGATCACATTGTAAGAACTATTTATTCATAAATTAAGTTTTATGATTAAATACTGCTTTGAATTTAATTGGCCTGCAGATCTCCTGAGAAGCCACTGTTTTGATTGAACATTTTCTTTGAAGGTCACCCTAGTGAGACTAAGACAAGTGTATTACTGAGAGAGCTTGCCTGCAGCCGGTCACTGGTTGCAAAGACATGTTCAGGCTTGTTTTGACCACCAAGCAAGAAATGCTGCTGGTGGAGCAAGGAGGAAATCTGTGCCTGAAGTGGCAGAGGCAGCAGAAGAAAGGCCGCACCAAAGCCCCGAGGCCGAGGCATGGAGAACATGAAAGAGGATACTGAGCAGTGGGAGAGTTGAGACTGTGAGGCAGAGCAGTGGACAGGCTTCCTGCTCCCAGCAGCAGAAACCATGTAGCTTAGGGGCTGAGGACCAGAGAGACTTGCCTGGTAGCTGTGGAGAGGTGTTGTTGTGGACCAATGACAATATCTTAAAATGGTTTAAGATCCTGATCTGTGTTAACTTGGTAACTCCCC